GGGGAGTCCCCCAACCCGGGGGGCAACCGTGGCTGCTGCCAGCCAAGGCCACTCACAGTATCCCCAGATCCTGCCTGCTCCCTGCAGAGCTTCATGCCCCCCCCCCAGCCCCACCACCAACCCAGAAAGGTGCCAAGGGCTGGGCACAGCCCCATGTTGTGTCCAGCACCCTTCAGCCACACTGGGCTCCTGCACCCAGCAGGGGCACCACAAACCCCCTCCTCATCCAGTACCCAGCCCAGTCCCTTCCCAGCCACCCAAGCCCTGGCACTCCTGTCCACAAGCTACCACACAGCCTCACTGGCTCCAGTTATTAATTTTTTATTTAAAACAATCATTATGTTCACATTTCATCCTTTGTTTTGCTTGCAATGTACAGGCTCTTCCAAGGCATCACCACCCGCAGGGGTGCCCCGTGCTGGGCCCTGTGTGGCACCGGCACTGTGCCCGCGGCTGGTGGCCAGGGACATGCAGAGGGAGGAGGCAGGAAGCAGGGCCAAACTCAACGAAGCAAAATAGTGTTAAGGCAGCAACCACCCCTGCCCCGGGGTGATGCCCTCCTGCTTCCACCCGGCTTGCCACCCAGGGGCTGTCCTCACGGGGGTTTTGTGTGGGCAACACTGTGCACCCGCCACAAAAGCCTTTTTTTTTTTTTTTTTTTTTTCCCTAATTCCACTGACCATCAAGACACAGGGACAGTGGCACAGCAGCAGGTGGGGACTGCTCTGCAGAGTAGGGGGCTCTTGTGCCCTCCCTGAGCTGCAAGGCATCGGGGTGGGGGAGGACCAAGCCCAGGCCAGAGCCCACCTTTGTGGGGCCCTGAGGGAGCCACTAGCAACGTGACAACTAGAAAGCCAAAGCTGCCACCATCTCCTCTCTCCCTGGTGGCAAAGGGCTCACCCCAAGGTAGCTCGTCCCCCATTGTCCACCCAGGAAGACAAAGAGTGCCCAGCAAGGGAGCATCCCAGGTAGGGGCTGCCTACCTGTGCCATCCACTCCACCCCAGGGCCTGCCAGTTTCCAGTATACTATTAAAAAAAATATGTTCTGAAAAAATCAGAAAATAGAGCTTTTCTCCCCGTGTTTCCCCTATTGAAAATATAGTATATTGCATCACAAACTATAGCAGGTGGCATACACAACTGGCCAGACGAAGGGGCACAGGGACAGTGAAGGGTCAGATGCCACCTGTGTCTGCTTCTGCTCTGGTGCCCTACCCATCTCCCCCTGCAGTGCTGCCCACAGCAGTGAGCCAGGGGACCTGGTGTTCGGAGCCAGCTCGGGGCCTCCAACTGATCCCATGCCAGGGAGGCTGAAGAGGCAATAGGGACAGACACAGGCAGCTTGGCCCTGAGTGCTCCCCAGGGAAGGAGGACTGTGCACAGCCACCCCAGGTTGCTGAAAGAACATGGGGCACCCATAGTGGGGGGGAGATAGTGGAGGTCAACATCAGAGGCCCTGCCACCACCCCGTCTCCTGGCATGGCTGCAGGGGGCTGAACAGCTGGGGGTGCTGCTGGGCTGTGCGTGCTGGGCATGGCCCCTGTGGGTGATGAGGCAGCAGGACCCTCTGCAGAAAGGAGGGACACTGCTGGTCGAGAGGGTGCTCGCTGCTGGCTCTGCTGACACCGACAGCCCCACCACCACCACAGTCCATCCTTCTCCACCATCCCAGGCACTTCTGCCAGACTGCACTGGCACTCAGCTGGGCTGTCATGACCTCGTACCTCGAGGCCACTCCCAATTTCAGAAGCCATCCTGGTGGGTGCAGCAACCCTTCTCCCAGTACCACCAGTGATCCAATAGTAAGAAACCAGTGCAAGTGGCTCCATTACAGGGCCAGACACTGAGCAATGGGTGCTGGGGCAAAAGAAGGGGGACACAGCACAAAGGTGGCACAGCAGCAGTGGTGCCCTGCGGAGGGCAAGTGGGCAGTAAGGGCAGACAGGAGGCAGGATGAGGTGCTCTGGGAGGAGGGATGTGGCTGGGGGCAGAGGGAAGAAACAGCTGGTGCCAGCGTGTGAAATACCCTGTGAAATGCCCCCTGCCCCCACCCATGCCCCTCTGCTGGGGCCCCACTGCCTGGCCCCAGGTGGTAGAACCAGGTCAGCTGGACTGCTGGGCTGGCAGCAACATGGGCAGGCAGGATGCACCAGTGGGGCAGTGGCCACATCTTGGGCAGACCGGAGGTCACCAGTGACATCCTTTGGGTCACAGGAGACAATTGTGGGTGAAGCACCAGGGCTCCTGCCCCTGCGGCGCTGGACCCTGAATCCCCCCAGTGCCAAGGGCAAGCACCAAGCCGGGGGATGGGAACAAGGCAAAGCAATCGTCCTTCCTCCCACCCTGCCAGGGCCAGGCCTGGGATGCTGATGATGCCAGGGGAAAACGGGGCATCCTCACAGCAAGGGGTCTCCGAGGTGGGTGCAACATGAGCGTCCAGATGAAGGCACCACTCACAGGCCTCGTCTGCACCACAAAGCGTGTGGGGCCGGCAGTGCTGGTGCCAGGCAGTGTCCTTCTCTTCGCAGTCTCTGTCTGCTGGCACACACTGGCTGGGCGAACTGGCTGAAGACAGTGGCCCCCAGCAGCACACAGGGACAATGCCCTGGGGCTGAAGGGGACAAAGGCCACACAGCAGGTGGTGGCTCGCAGGATCCAGCCAGGCTGGTGCCACATCCGCCGTGTCCTCCCTGGCTTGTGTCTCTGGCCGCGGCAGCTCCGCTCAACGGGGCAAAGGGAGGGGAGAAAGGGTTCGGTGGCATCAGAGCCAAGGGACGTGGCTGCCTCCAGGGGTCTCAGCACAGCGTGTCTGTGTTGAACGAGAGCTGAGCCTGTGGGCACAGACAGGCAGGGCTCAGGGGGGGCTGCCCACTCTGCCCAGCGCTGCTGGGGTCACGATCTGGGTTGGGGCCATGATCCCCCCTCCTAGAGAGCCCTCTTGGGTCCATCCCTGGCTTCACTGTGTCCCCTTCCTGGTGCCACAACACCCAGACCTGGTGTTTGTGGCAGAGACACAGCTGGGACCAGTCACACCCAGGTCTGGGACAACCCCTCACCCTCTCCTCCTCAAAGCTGATGAGGCCTTCGTCATCTGTCTCCAGGTCCTCCTGCTCCTCCACCACCAGGGCCCGTAGCTCGGTGGGGGCAGCGCGGGGGCGCAGCAAGTTCAGCACCTGCTCCAGGGGTGACTGCAGGGTGCAGCTGGGGCTCGTCTCCTGCTGCTCCAGGTTGTCACTTTGCTTCTTGGCAAAATTCACAAACACCTGGGGAAAAAGGGGAAAAGGGCTATGAGGAACGCCTGTGAGCACCTACCCCCTCCCACATAGCACTGGACACAGCCCCAGCACAGGTCTTGTGGCTGCCACCATGCCCCATACCTTGCTCCACCTCCCATCCTACAAGTGGTTTCTGCTAGGCACTTTGGCACAGCCACCCTCCCAGAGACAAGCACCCATCTGCCCAGGCCATCCCCAACTCACGTTGTCCAATGTGGTCTGGCTGACAGAGTAGTCTTCGATGCCCAGGACATCCACCACCTGCTCCATCTTGCTGAACACCTGTGCCAGTGAGATCTGGTCCGACTTCAGCTGGTACTGGACCTTGGTGTGGTGCCGCTCCTGCAGGGGACAGAGGTGACACCCAAGCCCTTGCTCCCAGACCCCGTCATATCACCCACAGAGCTGCCCCTTGGGGGAAGAGAGGGCTGGCAGAGGTGGCAGGGAGCTCACCTTGAGGACGGCCTCGGGAAAGTTGCGGTTGAAGAACCTCACCACCTCCTTGACATTGAGGCTGGATTTGGTGCGCACTGTGATCATGTAGCCATCTCCAAACCTGTGCAGGGACAAGGGATCCTGTGAAGACCTGCACCCCTGCAGGGAAGGGCTGACCCCACAAAAGGGGACAATGCTCTCCAGCAGTGCCTGCACCCACCAGGACCATGCCAGGATGACTGAGCAAGCCTGTCCCCTGCCCACCCTTCAAAGCAGCACCCACACATCTCACCATGGGTGCCACACTGTGCAGGCCTGGCTCCCTCCCACCCTGCAGTGCACACAGGGTGCTGGACCTCCCACCAGGCTCTGACCTGTTTTTCAGGTGCTGGATGCTGCCAAGACACTTGAGCCGCC